GCATCCTTCTCTGCTTAACAACTGGATTGTTGTCTTGTTTGTGGCACCAAAGAAATTAATAAAGGAATTCTAAGAATTAAATATAAATAAATATATAAATAAATATAATGAATGTTAAGTAATTAAAGATTTTATACTTCGGTACTGTATTTTAAGCCAATAAAATCATAAATCTGACTTCATTTGTGGTAACTCCACATTCCCATTTTTTTTTAAACAAATGTTTTTCTGGTGTTTTATAAACTTGCATTACAAATGCAGTAACACGTTTCACCTCTTTTTGTTTTACAGCTCAGAGAGATTCATATTAAAATGGTATATAAATCAAGACAAATTTCTTATAGAAAAAGTTTAAAGAGGTTGCTTTTTGCTGTCCTTTTAAAAGGGAAATAAGAGCTCGTATTTCTAGGATGTGAAAAAAAATAAACCCTCAAAAGACAAATAAGCATTTAGCTATGTGTTCTTAAGGAACATATGCTTCCTGTCTATGATTATGCCTACGTACAACTTAGCTATAATAAATAATAATAAAAACTGCAAGACTGTATTACTTTCAGAGTTCTTCTTTGTTGTAGAATTTGAGATATATTTACCCTTAAAACCCTGTTCATTCTGCCCTGCCCTTTTTTACTCTTTTCCTATAGGATACAAAAAAGGGACAAAAGAATTTTCAAGTTTAAATAAAACCAAACGCTGAATTAAAATAATCTTTATTTTTTAAAACAGTTGTACTATGTACAAAGGAAATCACTATAATTTACAATACGTAAAGCATAGAACATTGGGGGGTTTTTGCTTCCACTGGAAGAACAACATTGCAGAACTAAAAAATCGTTAGAATCAGACATTGACAGTAGTAATAAAATAATAATATAATAATAAATACTTGCCGTTCTTATAATCTGAATTTGAAATAATCCAAGCATTTCAGCATTAACTAATACATCTTACTCTGCTTCCAATGTGTAGGTAGAAGTGTCTTTTGTACCTCACAGAACAAAAAAGTTGTATGAGTTGTGAAGGTTACATCAATCCTAAAACACGTTCCTTTGTTCAGTTTCACAACTGCCAGCAGCAGAGCTCCAGGAGGATGGTGAGCAGCCAAATGAGTGCTAACACTGTTTGCTGTAATCTTAGTCCATTAGAATATAGTCTGGTAATATCCTCTTTTTCTGATTTCAGTTCTAAAAAATACCAAGAATATAAAATGGCTAATGAGTAAAATAAGTAAATTGTAAAACAAGGATTTTCAGCATACTTTTAAAGTCCTCTGACATCTCACAGGTACTTAAGTTAAAGGTATCAGCTGTTAAAGCCAATCAAAGAGGCCATTCTCAAGGGAGAGATGTGAATAGATGTCCCATCAATGATCGTTTGAGAAGTAACTGATAGCATTTATCAGCTCTTGCAGGCATTAATCTCAGAATAATCAAAAGTAAATACAAAGCAAAAGCAAGAGCAAGATCTTCACAAGAGGTATGCACCGAAGTTTGCCTGTAGAATTTTAACCCTTCCTTCAACAAGGGGCTTCACTTATTAGCACAGGCAGAACACCATGCCCTCAAGACTGAAAGTCACCAAGTGCTTGCACAGAGGACCAGCAGATGATTCTCCACCGCCGCCTTTATTGCCTTTGCTAAGATAAACTCAAGAGTAGTTAGCAGTAGACTGCTTTTGCAGCTCTTTTGGGGAGGCCTGTTAAGTGTTTTGCTCCTGTAATGGGAACAATAGGGCTGATTCAAAGTTGGATACCCAAGGGAACTTGAGCATTTAATTTTTCTGAAGAGTTTAATGAGCAAGTTGTGTGCCACAGATCATTACTCAATAAAGATGACTTTAAAGCAAGAGTGGTTTTAATGACACGTTTTTGGTTTTAGTGGGATGGTCTCTTTTTGTCGGGTTTTTTTGGTCTGATAGGAATGTCACCTTTCTTTTGCATTTTACTTCCTTGTGCTGCTGTGAGTATCACAAAACAGGGCATATCTTGGGGATTTAAGAGGCTCAAGTTTTGAAATTTGTATTTACTTCTGAGTTGCTAGTATAATTCAGGAGTCATAGCTTCAATGCAGTGGTACTCAGATAGGAATCTGGTCAGGAAAGAGGAGGCTGGCAGTTCCTTGGGATGCAAATGAATCTTGAAGCTATTTAGGTCTGTTGTTTTCTTGCCCTGCTGACTACTGATGTTGGTGATGCTGAAAAAAACTACTACAGGACAGAGTGGGATAAAGACATCATGGACGGGGAGAGGCAAGAATATTTTGCATTAAATTTGCCACTGGAGAGGAAAATAATATCAAACTCCTCTTAGTAACTTCAGGATATTGAAAAAAGTCTAGATTTTGGTAGCCAGTTCTCCATGCAAGATAAATACCTGTAGAGCAATCCTTAAAGTTTTCATGCTAGTGGATACACTATTTTAAAAAATATGCAAGCATTTATACATGGATTTTCACAGGCTAGTGTATAAAGAATTGACTTAAAGTAATACAGTGCTTTTGAGGAAACTGGATGAAATTGGATGATACTACTTCACACTGATCAGGACTGTGGCCAGACACTTTTCGTGGAGTGTTCTCAGTCTTTGAACAATAATGTTTTGAAGATTAAAAAGCTTAATATTCAGACTAGTTTTCTAGTCATTTAGGTGTTAAGTGGCTTATGCAAGGACATGCAAGTTTTCAGTACTTCTTTCTCTAGTGTAATACTGGTTTCTACTACACCAACTTATATGAGTGTTTCTTCACTTTCCTCATCTAAGAAATGTTTTTGTATGCATAGATGTAGTTCAGTTGCACAAACTGTCCTCCTTAAGTGGGAAGGTTTTGCAGAACAGAGAAACATTTAATCCCGATTTTCAATGGAAATTGGGGAAATTTTCCTACTACATATATATACACATATATATTTCCTACTGCATATATAAAGGTCTTAAAGTATTTTTTGTGATGTACTGTACAGATAACAGCAGTGTTATTCCCTATCTCACTAGTGCACTTTCTCAAGCAAAGCAGGCCACTGCAGAAGTCTAAACAGAGCACATACAACATCACAATTGTAGAAAGCAATTCTGTTATCCACAACATAAAAATGTTTGGTTTAGTGTCATTCCTTACCACAATTATCATGCATTATTTCCGAGAGACAGTTCAGAGTACCATAGCCGCACCGACACAGCCAACAGCCCTTCAGCACCCAGGCACCGTGGGCAATGCTGCCGCAGTTGCTGTCAAGGACGAGAGAGACATTTGGTGTGTCCCTGATCCCACCATAGAAAAGAACCATCTAGAGTAGCTCCCTCCGTCCCTCCTTCCCTCCCTTTTTAGTCTGTTTTATTGTGGTTTTTTGGTTTTGTTTTTACCTTTGCCGCTCATCATGTTCACAATACCTGCCAGTGAAATGCTTTAGGCAGGCACAGAAAGCCCCTAGGATACAGGTCCCTCCATTCTGGCAGCACTGCCTGCTCAGTTTTTTACCTGCAAGACAGTAGTACAGAGGTTACCAAACAACCCAGGGGCTCCAAACCTCCCCTTTTCCTCACTTGTTCTCTCAAGTCTCTCCAGTTGCCAAAGCATCTTAAGGATATCTAGTTTTATTGTCTTGAGAGACAATAAAATTATCTGCTTGTTAGGGGTGTTTGTTCAGTTAAGCCCAGTTTGTTTAGTTAAGGATTAGAAGCAAACTACCAGGGATTACAGAATGGTCAAGAAACAACGCCTGGCAAGTCCTGTAGCAGCAGCGTATATACAAGCGAAATATTTCACTTGGAGGGAGGCAGGTTTCAGTCACAATAAGAAAAGGGACATTTTTACAAGGAATCGGTGCTCATGTTTGAAGAAAGGAGGCTTTGTTACTGGGAAGAGTTGCTTAGTTTTGAGGTGAGAGGGGTAGATTCTCTCAAGTCTTTCTCAGATTTCTGGAATTAATCGCCAAGCTAAAACTTTATAGATGTGAGAGGAAACATAAGCCTGTCCTTGGGTGGTGATTTTAAAATTTTTTTTCCTGTTAGTACTGTTGCTTTCAGACAGCTCAAATATTTTTAATTTTTGGTCATGAAATGTGGTGAATTTCAAGAAATGAACTTAATTTAACAAACACTTTTGCAAATCCAAGGAACCAACCCCTTCTCAATTCCCAGTAACCTTCTCTGCTTTCTGTTATCACTTTTTGCAGGTAAGAGACCCCCAGTTCTACCTTAAATATTTTATCAGCAATTCTTTAAGTGGCTACAGGAATAATTTAACTGAGCGGCCACAGAAAACCAACCACTGGAATATTCCAGGACAACAGTCAAAGCATTACTGTGATATAATATTTTTTAAAGCCATTTTGTGACATTGTTTAAATAAATAATGTTACCTACTCTCTGTAATCCCAGTGAAAGGTACCAATACCCTGGAATTCTGTTCCTTTCTGCTTTCATAACTCTGATTCATGTCACTGAGAGCATTTATAATAGCCCCTTCGTTCTCAGGCTGTTGCTTCTGTGCTGTAGCATTGAGACTTTTCACATCTTCATGTTCTTCTTTTCCATGGCCTTGACAAGCAGTGCAAATATGGAAGAGAAACGCAGCTTTTAATGAAGCAATGCATACTGTAAATATACAGGAGAAACACTGCGGTTGGGGGGGTGGTGTTAGGTGGAAACATGGAATTTTGCTTACCATTTCCCAAATGAACAGCCTGCCAAACCAGAGTCACAGTGAAGAGAATTCTGTATAAAACAAGGAGCTGAAATAAATTTGTGCTAATAAGGCACAAACACCAGAAAAAAAAAGACAGGGGGAAGAAGCCTTCTCAAATGTTTATCAACGATCAATAACATAAACTGTAAATATTTTATGTCAGCAGTAATTCGAATTAACACACCAAAACCATCAAATTAACCTTGAAAATCGTGGGGAAGGTGGGGAGCAAGGGGAAATGCAGGCAGCAGAGAACTGGGACGTACATATTTGGTTTGCTTCCAGAAAGCTAGTTTCCATATATTTGCTGGTTAACAACAACGCCTCTTTCTGCACACTTCTGTAGCACAATTCAGTTGTTGCCAGCAGTTACAAAAGCAGCCTTTGCTGGAAAACATTAGAGGAAAACGTTAACCTCCGCTTAACCCGCACTTCCAGGTAGTTTGTTCATTTCACCTTTCTGGCCTGCTAATCAAGCAAAAAGTCCCACTGCTAAAAAGGAAAAGCACCCCTGGCCAGAGGAGGTCCCTGGCAGCTATGCCTTACCTAACATGATTTCCCCGGTACATTTTCCTGCAGCCTGAAATACCCGCAAGATCCTCCGGCAAAGCTTGAGCAGAAGGAAGAGGTCCAAAGCCCCTCACTGACGGCTGTTGCAAGCAGCAGCCCTCACGCCACACACGGCAACGAGAGATGGAGAGACGAGGATGGGTCAAACTTCTCCCCTTCTGCCCAGTTCACATCAACGCTGAAGACATAGTTCCAGCTGTACCGCTGGCCCAGCCCTCACTGAGGTACCGCAGGCAGGGACCATCTCCCAGCTGGGACGCCCTGCCCTGCCCACGATTTACATGCACTGCTGAAGGGTGGAGCAAAGTGGGGACCCCTACTGCTGCGGGGAGACTTAAGGGCCCACGGCCGCAGAAAAAGCCCAAGCCAGGAAGATCTCAACTCCAGTTTATTTCTTAACACAAAAAATCTTGTATTACCGCTCACCGCATGAGGAAGAAAAAACTGTTCTGCAGAACCGCAGTGGGTGCGCAATAAACTGCAACAGGTATATGAGGGAGGTTAAAAAGCCTCAGCACTACCTGCCTGCCTTGTCTCTGCCAGGTTTTCCACAGGGACCTCTGCTTCATGAAATTCTACCACTTTGCAGCACAGATAATCCCTAGAGTCTGCGTTAGATTTCTACCAGAAGTACTACAGAAAGCAGTGGAAGGTTCTTGCAATTTCAGCAGAGACCTAGGTTTAACTCACTGTGTGTGCTAAAACGGGCTGGGACCACTTTCACAACTTTACTGTGTCTCAGTAGCATCCGCAAAAGGACAGTAGTACAAAAGGAGCTCTGTGCAGCCTTCCCAAATGCCTCTGCCTGTACACTGGAGTGTACATGGCCTTTACCTAAGTTTTAACAGGAAACTGCAGCAATATTAGCCTTGTTTTGTTTTGGGGGACATATGGAAGAGGGGTGCTTTCACAATGCCAGTGTAAATCAAGCTATTATAAATTGCGCCTTGGCTATTTACATATCACATCTGACACACAGGTCAAACTTCACCAAAGGAATGGCTGTACTGGCTAGAGACGCTGTAATCTCTTGTTTGTAACTCTCTGTGGCTGACACTTGTCAGCTTTGCTCCATCTAAACTAATAGCTTGGAGGCTGTGAACACCCCTCATCCACCTTGGTACAAAGGCTGTCTTAATTTACAAAGAGAGCTGTCCTAATTAAGTCAGCCTGCTTGGCACTGAAGCAGATGGAGACTCTTCCGAGGATATGCTTCTCATGTCTCATGTGAGGACAATGATCTCCAACAAGAGGAGTGCATGACTGGAGATATGGAATGGCTGTTTCTGCAGGAAATGCTTGCAGGCAGTGCTCTGCATCAGTCTTAGTGGACAAGGGATTCCCAGTGCTGGTACAACTGTTGATCCCAATTGATCTAAGCTCAGTGTTTTTATTGTAGATATAGGGTAACTCCTTTAGCTTCTTGGTGACTTGTTTCATGGTGTGTTTTATGTTTGTTAGTAATGTAAACTGATTTTGATGTACTGAAGTACCATGTCTTTTGTAACTGAATGCTTGTGATGTACATTTGTGTAGTTCAGCTATATCAGCTAGAAGAACCTACATGCTAATACTTGTAGGTAAGATACTTAATAAAAAACTGTTATGATAAAAATCACAACAGGTTAATTCAGGAAAGGATTTTCTTTTTTTCTATCTCAAATAGTAACACTTTCAAAGAGACAGATTATTCTCACTATCATGCTGTCTGCCTCTACCTAACTGTGATTCACAAGAAATTCTAAACTGTACATATGTTAAGGCTCAGGCACTTGCTTAAAACTCATCACATGTTCAAGTACTTGATGCTGTTCTGAATTAGGACTGTAAGATGCTTCACACAAAATGAAAGAGATGTAACTTTTGCCTGCTTTCACAAAATGTGTATTTTTTTTTATAAATATATAAAAATGTTTACTTTTGGAACATACAATCCAAACAATTCTTGTTTTCGTTTGAGTTCTCTAGATGGGTAACAGGGTTAGTACTTTAGTTTTAAAAAGAACAGCTGCAGTCACATTTGTTCACCATTTTTTGTTACTATATTAGGAATAAAATATTAATTTTCTGTTTGGTCTAACTGGCAGTATCACTTTAAGTTACAATATTGAGATGCTGAAACACTGTCATTTAGCATCTAGTTTGTTGGTTTCCCCTTCCTATAGCTCTAAGGCAGAAAAAATAAACAGAGATAAGTAAACTCAGGAACATCGCACTTATTGTTTGTTTTGGTGTTTGTTCGTTTTTTAAAATATAGTGTCAATATAGTTCTCCTGGAGCACTTTTCTGGATGTCAGATTCCCAGCCCTATACTGGAGGTAACTTTCAAAACAGGGATGCAGGTAAAGAAATACTGATCAATTTTCACACCGTGTGCCATTCGTTTCAGATCAGAAGTCATCCTTGTAACTGCAAGAGCTAACAACCTGGGGAACTGTAAAGCAGTTGATAAACATTTCTTACAGTGTTGCCTTGGTATTTTTGTTCATACTCCCTACAGCCTCACCAGCAAGGCACACATAGGAACAGGGACAACATAAATTGCTCAGATGCTGTTGTTGCCTGATGGCCCTGTGGAGGTGAGATTGGTGTGACTCTGCGGAAAAGCACTGCGGTTTGCTGTTGACAGCGTCTGCCAGAAAGTAATTGCTTCTGCACTGGGATTTGTGAGGAGCTGGAGTAAGGCTAGGCGCACCCCCTTTATCAGCTTCAAGTAAGGTAAGAGCTGAGCCAACCAAAGAGCTGGTCCTGAGTGTTTCGGTCAAGCCTGGTGTACATGGGAGATGGTTAACCACTAGTTAGGGGCCTTCAGTGCAGTTAGTTCTGATAGCAGGTCAAGCAGTCTGTATGGATAAGGGTAGTAGGAAAATATGGTATTACTTTATTAGTCCACATAACACCTCTTGCGCTCATCCAGGGAACTGTAGGTCTGTGGCCTCCATCTTCTGGCACTGTTTCCCAATGTGCAAGTGCACCACTACACTGAAAGATGAAATGTGGGTAATACATGCTGGTTTTTTGCTATATTAGTGTTTCATACCAACTGCATTCCCACGAAGTACTTCTGAGAGCTTCAGGATCAATAGATGCCTAAGAACTGGATATAGCACTGGGGGGAAAAAAAATAAAGAAAAAAAAAGGAAAAAAAGAAAAAAGAAAAAAAAGGAAAAAAAAAGAAAAAAAAGAAAAAAAAGAAAAAAAGAAGACAGTATGAGGAAAATATGGATGTCCCTGGCTTCCTGGGAGCTGTGCTGAAAAACCTGCTTAGGGGTATGCAAAATTCGGTGATGGCCAATGCAGCCAAAGTGTCTGCTGACTAGAAAGCTTCAGGTACCCAAATTCCAGCTTAGGGCTAGGGCCAGATCTTTAGCCAGATTGGACATTGTTATATCAATTATGCAGAATATTATGGAAAACAATGGAAAGCTATTATCCGCCCTGGGCATTTATTGAAATCTTGGGAATAGATGCTGCTGTGAAGCAAAGCTATCAGCCTAGGTGACTTACAGTTCTCTGAGGAAAGGGCAGATCCTAGGCCTGGGAGCTCTTAGAGTGTACTTAACTCATTAAATGGTTAGGATCCTGGATGAAAAGACCTAATACTAGCCAGCCTGAGGTTTTTCTATTTTTTTTTTATTGGCTATGGCTGCTACTAGGATTTTTGACAGCTACCAAAGGTATTCTTGATTTCTAAAGACTATATAAAACTTAAACACAGTAAACTGAATAATTTTTAAGATACCACAGAACTTTCTCAACAGGGCCTGGTCAGATCAGCTCTTATTACTATCAGTAATTTTCTGTAGGATTGTGGGAGGGGTTGCTGTTTTTGCCTCTTCACCTTTGTATATGTATCCATCAAAGATCATACCCAGGCACAAAAGCTTGCACTTGTTCAAACAAATTGTATAAATGCCCTGAGCAGCTTTTCCACTCCAGGTTAAGAATAGCTTACATTGATTTAGTTGAAATCTGTCACTAATTGACTTGAGGAAGTAAGAAGCAGGAAAATAAAATAATCCACAGTGTGACAGGCACCATTTCAGCTAATGCCATAGGTCCATGATCGACTTAAGCAGGATAAATGGCTGCTGCTGCTGAAAGGGTGAGTTGCCCACTCTTTTACAACATGGGCTCTTTGTACTCTCCTCACACTGCCATTATTGTGTGTGCAGCCATAAGTGAGGTGGAGCAGGGAGTTTATCTAAATGAACACCCAGCTGGGGGAAAAAAAAAAAAAAGAAAAGAAAAGGTTAATTTCCCTCTGGATCAGTTCCCTGATGTTCTTTGCCACATGAGCACTAGTGTTGGCAGAAGCAGGAGGCAGGGATAAGCAGCCATGGCTGTGTGACAGGAAGCCCCTTTCTGTAGCACAGCTGATTTATACCAGATTAAATTGACTGTGGAATTTGTAAATAGATTTCAGTTCATAAATTTAAACTGGTGTTCCCCTCCCTAGGAAATAAACTACAGCCAGTATATCCACATGATAATGAAGCCACCTTCTAAGCTTTCATCCTATTAGCACTGACTAATACAGAGGAGTAGAGCAGTCATCCTGCATCTCTCTGACAGCATATGGATGAAGGTTAGTACAAACGAGATGGGAGTGATATTACTAAATGAAAGGAAACAGCTACAGCAGTTCCCTGGAGAGGCAACCTTATGCAGATACTGTGCAAAGATGTAATGCTCTGTCACAGACTGACAGAAATTTATGGAATAAAACCAGCCTCAGAACAGACCATCCTGTAGGTTTCCCTCTGCTGAGTCTAATGGTTAGTTATTAAATATGATGAAAAATACCGGGATGATAATGGAAGTTTTGCAATGAAAATGAATGCAGCTTGTATCTTCTGTGTACAGAAAAAAAACCCTAACAAACCAAAACACAGCCAAAATTCTGCTGAGCACACAGGGGAAGTGATAAGAAGATCCTAGCTATCTTCCTCTGAGGGAAAGGTTCTTTGGCAAATGAATCAACACAAACACCAGAAGA